TCTGCCAGGAAGCTTTCAGTTTGTATATTTGACCTGATGTAATGAGAGCTTGGATTAAGTTCATGGCAATAAAACCTGAAAGGAAGAAGCGGATGGATCTGAGAGACATTACTAAGAAGGAATAAGAGCTAGAGATTCAAATTGGGCTAAATATATGTCAGGTGATAGGTGAAATTGTGTAAGGAGACACTTTCCAAGGAAATGCATCTTAAGAGAGAATAGCTGAGGGTTGAGTCTTGGGGGATTCCGATGGTTAATAGGAGGAAGAAAGAAGAGGAGCCAGCAAAGAAGACAGAGAATGATGGGTCAAAGAGATAAGAAGGGAAACTTGAGAATATAATGCCATGAGAACCAAGAGAAGGAGAGTTGCAGGAAGGAGTGGGTGACTGATGCTATCAAATTATTCCTCCAGGTCAAAGAAGCAAATTGAGCCAGAGATACTCTAGGAGGTCATTGGTGAACTGACCAACTGAGAGCAGTTTTAGTGGAAGGTTCTAGGGAAGGGAGAAGTGGAGAAATGGAAGCAACTCTTAAATACTACCCAAGTGGTAAGAGTATTGTTTTGGGACTGAGAATAGCAAGAATATAAATGGTATCATTCTTATTCTGCTACTTGGTTACTTTGCCATTTTCCAATTTTTCCTTCTGAAATTGGTTGGGAACAAACTTATATGTATGTAAGGTTGATCGAAAACTCAAGTTTAAAAGATCACTTTAATGTTACAGAGAAGGGTTTCTTCCACCCTTCATACCCCAACAAAAATTGTAGACATTTCTCAGTATGTTTTACATAGAATAGACTTTTCGCATAATAGTCCTGTACCCAGTTTGGTCTTGCTTTAGGAGTTCCCTAGCTGTGTTTTGAACATTTATGATCCCAAATAACTTCAATAGTTCTCTCTGGAAGTCTCTGAGAAGAGAACATTGAGGCAAGGTGACCAGGAGGGAGTCACAGTCAGGGTGATGTGGACTCTGGACTTGTATAAAAGCTGCATATCAAGGCTGTGTGTGGTTAAGACCCTGGATACAGTTTGTTGCCAATTTCACCCCAACAACAGACGTCTGCAGTTCCTGAGTGGGTTATGGACTAGTGAGTAGTTGAGGCAGAGGCACACTTTCCCTTTGGGGGTGGGTGATTGGCCATATCAGGCAGTTTTCAGGGGCTACTCACAGTTCTGTACACAGGGTTCATCCCCAGCAGTGCTTGGGGAACCATGTAGTGACAGGGATAGAACTGGAGTGAGCCACATGCAAGGTACTATCTCACAAGCCCTATCTTTGCTTTTTAGTTTATCGTACCTTCAGATTAACAGCCCTCTTGTCCTATCAAACAGTTTAGGCTTGAACAGGTAACTTGAATTTTTTAGCTATTCATAGAGGCATACCCTTCATTCATTCCTCTATTCTTTTTTTTAATTTTTATTAGTGAAACACCATGAGGTACAGTTGTAGACTTACAAATTTTTGTGCTTAGGTTTCAGTTATACAATGATCGAGTACCCATCCCTCCACCAGTGCCCATTCTCCACCACCACTAATCCCAGTATCCCTCCCACCCACATCCCCCCATCCCACCCTACCTCTGTGGCAGGGCACTCCCTTTTGTTCTCTCTATCCTTTTGGGTACTGTAGTTTACAAAAGAGGCATTGAGTGGCAATCATGTTCGGTCTATAGTCTACTTTTAGTATGCATCTCCCATCCTGGGCAGATCTTCCCACCACCCTTTATTTGGTGCTCCCTTCTCTATCTGATCTGCCTTTACCCCTAGAGTGTACCGCTGGCCTCCAAGCCATGGAGTAAACCTCCTGGTATTTATCTCGGCTATTCTTGGGTGTGAGTCTCCTATTTTGTTACTTTATATTCCCCAGATGAATGCAATCTTTCTATGTCTGTCCCTCTCTTTCTGACTCATTTCACTTAGCATGATACTTTCCATGTAGTACCACTTGTATGTAAATTTCATGACTTCATCCTTTCTAACAGCTACATAGTACTCCATTGTGTAGATGTACCAAAATTTCTTTAACCAGTCATCTGTTCTCGGGCACTCAGATTTTTTCCATATTCTTGCTATTGTAAACAGTGCTGCAATGAACAAACAAGTGCAGATGTTGCTTTAATATACTTTTTTGCCTCTCCGGGATATATTCCCAGGAGTGGTATTGCTGGGTCAAATGGGAGCTCAATTTCTAGTTTTTTGAGAATCGTCCATACTGTTTTCCAAAAGGGCTGAACCAGTAGGCATTCCCACCAGCAGTGAAGGTGGGTCCCTTTCTCGCCACATCCGGGCCAACACCGGTTGCTTTTGTTCTTTTGGATGTGGGCCATTCCTCTATTCTTATCCAGCAAATATCTACAGCCAGATTTGATCAACACATCAACATAGGCTCACTTTTTCCTTACCCACTTGTCTACTAATCAAATCTTTGAGCATCTTTCTTTTATCAAGTCCAGGCTGCTTCCAGTTTAACATACTGCAGACAGTTCTTTGGGTTATTGCCTTTTCCTCTCCCCCCATTTCCAGAGAAGAGAAAGTCTCTGAGATTAAGTGGTGCTCCACAACCAGAAAATTGTTACAAGTTCTGTGAGCACAGAGCAGGGTGCCTACATCCTACATCACTATAAGATAGGGGAGAGAAGAACATATTCTCTTTAACTGGAACTTTTCAGGTCCTGAGATATGTAGAGAGTATAGCCTAATGGGCTTTGAATGATCCTGAAAGTCCAGCATTTACTTTGCACTTGGCTGACCTAAGTTTGACTCCCAGCACCACATATTGGTACCCCAGGCACAGCTAGAGGTAATCCTTGAACACAGCACAGAGCTAGAAGTAAGCCCAGTGCACCACCACAGGGTGTGGCACAGTACCCTCCACAAAAGTTCTCTATGTAATTTCCCTGATCCTTTTATTTCTGGTCCTTTTTTCCTACTCTCCACCCATCCCTCCCTTCTTCTCATCTCCTCTCCCTCTCTCCCTTCCTTTAGCTATTGTTTTTTGGTAGAGTTACATCTGGTGGTGCTTTCACTATGCAGTGATGGGATTGAACCCCAGGCTTCCAGCATGTGCTCAGTTCATTGAGTTATCTTTCAGTGGTTCCATGAGCATTTTAAATTAAAGAACCATGATTTCAATGGAATACTCCACAGCTGCAAAATAACAAAATCATGCAATTTGCTACAACATGGTTGGAATTGGAAGATATCATGTTGAGTGAAGTAAGCTAGAAGAAAGAAACACAGTGTGATCTCACTTATCTGTAGTGTATAAAATAACTGAATGAGGAAATGTACTGTAACAAAGGTACTGTAATAAAGGGTGGGTGCTTAGATCCCTGACCCCAGAGTACAAGGGTGACGAGAACAGAGAAGGAAAGAAATTGAAGGGGTAAGGAAGAAGATGAGAAAGGGGGTAATAGGAGACAGGGGGCTTGGGTAAACTGGTGATGTGGGGAAGTGGTATAGCTAGATATCGAAAGCACAGACTCAACAATACGGAGAACATGAGATTCAAACTGCAATCATAGAACTTCAAAATGTACCTGTCAGGGTGGCAGGTGGGGTAGAGGGGCGAGAGGGAGCATGGGAACACTGGTGGAGGGAAGTTGACGCCAGTGGTGGGATTGGTGTTGGAATACGGCATAGGACTGATGTTGTGATATTTTATGTGTAAATTATCAACTATCAATAATTTTACAAACTACAGTTCTTTAAATAAAAAATAAAGAACTGTGATTTACAGTTATTTATAGTTGGGTTTTACATATTTAGTGTTCTAGAACCAATCCCATCACCAGTGTCAATGTCCCTCCACTAATATTTCTAAGTTCCCTTTGCCACCCTCACCTTATCCCCCAACCAAGCATGCCACCTTGACTGGCATATTTTAAAGTTTGGTTGTTGTAATTTGGATATATAGCTATACCACTCCCCCACATTACTGATGTACCCAAGGCCGTTTTAACGGGAGAACTTTTTTTCTTTTTGGGTCACACCCGGTAATGCACAAGGGTTACTCCTGGCTCAGCACTCGCACTCAGAAATTACTCCTGGCGGTGCTCCAGGGATCATAAGGGATGCTGGGATTCGAACCCGGGTCGACTGAGTACAAGGCAAACGCCCTACCCTCTGCACTATCACTGGAGCCCCTTTAACGGAAGAACTTTATTTTGTTTCTGGGAAGATGCTCACTCAGGGGAAATAGGGATCACATCAGATTCCTGGACCACACACTCACATACTGAGAGATTTGGGTACCTTTAAACATGTGAGAGGAGACCAGAGTAGGGATGCTTCCAAGGGAGCTGGTAGATTATTGGAAATGGTTTTAGACAACCAGGGAGTCCAAATCTGCTTTCAACTTTTTTTTGAAAGTGCCTGGACATTCAAGCGCCAAATCGGCCCTGGACATTAGTGGAATTCTCAAGCTCTCCTCTTGCTGGAGAAAGGAAGGAGGACCTGCTAGACAGGCCAAGGTCTTTGTGCTTGAGAATGAAGGCAGCAATTTTCTCTTCCACGGCATTGGGGGCTGTGAGGCGCGGAAGATGCTTTATCTGGGCCCAAACAGGGACTGTGGGGCAGATGGCCAGAATTTGAAACAAATTTTCTCCTGCTATCCAGGCTTCAGGCTTGGCCCCAGAAAAATGCCCTGCCCAGTCTCTGCCGGCCTGGGTCCTCCTGCATTCCGCCCCTCCCGCCCCCTCCGTCCTTCTAACGCCGCGCCCCTCCCTTGTCCCCTTCTCCTCCCCCACCAGCTGTCCCCTTTCCCCAGAGCGCAGCGAGTCAGCCAGAGCTTGGGAAGAGGCGGCCTTGGGCCGGAGGGGGCGTGGTGGGGAAGGGGAGGAGGAGCGGGGGTGAGTGGATAAGGAGGCCCGGCTGCGGGCGCCCCCAGCCACCGAGCCTCCGACCTGTGAGCTGGGTTCAGCTGTTGTCGCTTCGCTCGCTTGCTTCCTCAGACCTGGGGTCATCAGCGCCCTGGAGCCGCCTTGTCTCTCGACAGCCATGAACTGCAGCGAAAGCCAGCGGTTGAGCACTCTCCTGAGACGTCTGCTGCTAGAGCTGCACCACCAGGGCAACGCCAGCAGCCTGGGCGCAGGCCCCGGCCCGAGCATGGGCATGGGGGTGGTGCCCGACCCCTATGTGGGCCGCGAGGTGACAAGCGCCAAGGCTGACGACTCTTATATCTACATCCTGCTCATCATGATCTTCTACGTCTGCGTGGCCGGGGGGATCATCCTGGTGTATAACCGTTCTCGCAAGCTCGTGGACGACAAGAATGAGGCGGCCCCAGCCTACGTGGAGCACGAGTGGTCCCTGGGAGGAGCCCTGGTGGATGCCGAGAGAGCCGCTGCCTCTCCGGCCTCTGGCGGCCGCCAGCTCGCCCCTGGGGGGCTGCCTGCATTCTCCCAGAGCATGGAGGGGGTCTAGAAATACAGCAACCCTCCACCCCTGCTTGTTCGCTCTGCTTTTCTCATCTTGCTTCTGCATAGGTGCGGTGCCGGCCTTTTCCCTTTCAGTCCCTTCCAGTGTTGGAGCCTCCCCTGAGGCCCACAACACTGAGGAGAGGCCTGGGGACTGCATCTGCAGGGCCTTGGAAGGCGGACCACCCTACCAACTCCTGGCCTTTCTTCCTCCTCAGTCTCATACCAGGCCTCAGGTCCCAAACCCCTGCACACTCAACTACACTAAACTGCCTCTGCTCTTTTGTCTTCAGACAGCCCTGACACCACTTTGCAGCCGCTTGGAGCTGAATCCATCACGTCTCACCCTTGGCATCGGACTGCAGCAATAAAATGTGTCTGAATGCTGGGCCGTCAAACTGGAAGCTGCTCTCAGGGCGGCTGCCAGGGACTTGTCATTCAGAAGAGCCAAGGAGATCACCCTCACTGCCCAGGGCTGCTGTAACTCCAACTTCCTGTTGTCTTAGGGATAGAGACATTGAAATTGATGACTTCTGCCATCTTTCTTGCTCATCCGATTTTCAGAAGAGAACTAGCGAGACTCTAAGACCACTCTGTGCTAGAATGGATTTATTGGAGACTGAAAGGGGTGGGGCCTCAAAGGAGAGGGTGAATCCTGTGATCCCATCTGTATGGTTTTCTTGCCTCCAGTTGTTATCCCAAAGGTAACTTGATTGACTTTTAGTAGCCTTGCCATCTTCTGCTGTGACTATAAGCCCTGCTGGGTCTATTACTTCCAAACATCCAAATGCCTTTTATTTCTTGGTTCAATGTTAATTAATGGCTTTAGCTACCGAACAGTTCAGATGCTCCTTGCTTTGTAAACTGGGATATGTCAGAGGTAATAAAGGTTGTTTAAACAATAACCCTAGACTCTTCTTTCAAGGATCCTAATCTTAAGATCTAGTACAACACAGAGAAGGATTCCTTTGGGGCTTTTGAAAATTATATTTGCATTTGAGGGGTTAGATTGTTGTGGTACCTACAATTAAAGATCCAATTGCAATATCATTAATGTAATTGTGGGTGAAGAGAAGTTTTATGGGTTGTTTTCTCAATTTTTTCAAAGCTTGCAACTGTTTCAGTTCACTTCCTTCTTGTTTTCACAATTGCTTCAAAATTTACAATTGTTTAAATTTCACTCCCTCTTCCTTTTGCTTTAGCGCTGAAGCACTTTCAAATATCACAATGTTAAGTAAGTAAAGTAAGTAAAGTAAAATTTTTCTTTGAATTTTTTAAGGATATACTTTTAAAAATGCTCACATGCTCATCATGCTAGGCTAAATTTTATTTAATTTTATATGTCTTTTTATTTGGGGGACTATGCAAGGCAGTGCTCAGGGCCTACTCTAAGTTCTGTGCTCAAGAATCATTTCCAGGAGGGCTCAGGGAAACATATGCACTGCCCAGGATAAAAATGAGTTCAGCCATGTGCAAGGTAAGCACCTAAAACACTCTACTACCTCTCTGGAGCCTAAAACAAAATTTTAGAAGGCACCTATACCATTCTTTCAAAGAAGCACTTTTTCTGCAAAGAAAGCTGCTAAATAGCATAAATCTTAAATCAGAAGAAAGATGTTTGAACCGAACAATCTTAACTAATGATTGGTAAACTTAGAGGTGTGCGTTTTTTGGTTTATTCTCCTTATCTCAAGAAGGTAAAAGTCACCTAAAGCTCATCTGCTGATAAATTTTTATATCTGATAATGATTCTGTCCTTCCTCAAGAACACAGAAAGTACCTTTTGGCTTGAAGTCAACCTGCCTATATCAGCTGGTTTCTCAGTTATTTCAGGATAAAGTTATCATGTAGCACTTACACTCTCTCATGTTATACAAACCTCATTCAGGCATTGGTTTTCACCTATCTGGTATTTGCTGGAGGTATTAGTAAGTTACATGACCTTAATTTAATTCCCAGGATTCACTCCTTGAGGATATACTGGCCTGACGTATTGGTTACTTTCCATGTCTAGTTCCACTCCTGAGGTATCTTCATCTCCTTCTAGGCGCAGGTCAGGGACTGGACAACAGCCCCAGATAATTATGGGAATAGAATGGATCCTCTGAGAATCTCAGGGTTGGGGAATAGACCGCAGTGACATGCAGAAGTAGGGTACACATAGTCAGCCATTCTGAGAAGTATATGCAAGATCAGTCCCCAGCTCCGTGTTTCCAGTTCAACAATCTGCATTGTTTATTTCACACAACATGATAGAAAATGTGATTTTAAAATTGAAACATAATCATTCCTTTTGGTGTTAAAACTTTATAAATATGTGTGCCCATTTATCAAGGACATTTAAAAATGCAGTGCCAAAAATTATGAGAGAAGCTGGAGACAGTTAGTACAATGCCCATAATAAACATCAATATTCCAGCTGTGGGAAATAAATCCCATGGCAAAAAATTCCTGCCACTAAGAGAATTTTAATCTTTTTACAATGATTAGGGTACCTATTAACAATATGTAGTAGTTGTTGTTACTAAACTATCCTTGTGAGAAAAGTGGACTGACCTTTGGATAACAATTGGTCCTACTGTCCAGTGTTCCCTCTCCCACAAACACTTTAAGGATGGATGCTGTGTCCCAGTTAATAAATTTTCAAGAATTCTGGACACTTGACTCTTTAGCATGCCATCAGGGATAGTGGCAACATGGAAGGAATCTGGGAACACTGGTGGAAAGAAGTTGACACTGGTGGAGGGATTTGTGTTTAATTATTGTATGCCCAAAACTCAACTATCATTAACTTTACAAATCATGGCTCTTTAATAAAAATAAATACATTTTAAAAAAACACCCCCAAAAAAGGTAGAAAGAAGAAAACTCAGTCCCAACAACCAGTATTGATAATATTGACCTAAATAGTTTGCACAGTTCAAATTGAGAAAATGTAGCCTTCTCCTTAATGTTGTCTAATAAATTAATTCTCCTTTTTTTTGCTTTTTGGGTCACAGCTGGTGATGCACAAAGGTTACTCCTGGCTCTGCACTCAGGAGTTATTCCTGGCGGTGCTCAGGGGACCATATGGGATGCTGGGAATTGAACCCGGGTCGGCCGCGTGCAAGGCAAACGCCCTACCCTCTGTGCTATCTCTCCAGCCCCGCGCTCCTTTTTTTTTAACCCACCCAGAAGTCTTATTTTCTTTCCATTTAAGAAAAATGTGCTTCAATTCAGAAGCAGACTCTTTGCCCCACAACAGTAATAAAGAGGAAGACCTTTACTTCCTTACTTATAACTTGAGGCTTTCAGCTAAGTAGAACTAGATGGATTGAGTATCTATTTCTGGAAGTAATTGTCAACCATGTAGAAAGGGATGCTTTTCTTCCACTACAGACTTATTCTATGTGGTTGATTTCACTTTTCTAGAGAGATATAAGGTTCATTAGTTTTTAGTTACTGTCTTCTTTTAAAATTGCCACTGCTGTTTTAAACCCCATATCAGCTCATTTATGTGAATACTGAGAAAAGACACTGTGCTGCTTTCCAAGCAATCTTGCCTGATAGCTGAAACAAATGCACTGTGGTGTTATGGAGAGAGCACAGACAAGAAATCAGTAGAATGGGGGTCCAGCTCTGGTTTAACTGCCAATGAATGGGTTTCATGACTTTGTATGAGCTACTTAACCTCTTTGGGCCACTCTCCACAGCTAGAGGAATTTGAAGATTACATGAGATAATATGGAAAAGGGTTAAGTAAAGTATTAAATAGCAATAGAAGTTAATTGAATAGATGTTGGTTGAATTTATATTTTCCATTTTCTTTTTTTAAGGGAAGTGCCTTTGGGAAGTTGGGTAAGGGTAAGAAGAGAAGAAAATTCTCCATGATGCAATCTACTTTTTGGTATGGTATTGTATATTGAACACAATACCATATATGCATGCAGATCTCATGCATGCATATTCCTTGCCCCAACAGAGTCTAGTCTTTTTGCTCAAAGAAGATTGTCAAATTTAGGCCACGAGCTCCCAGATTTATAAGCCTATCTCCATTATCATAATATTCGATAGTTAGGAGTCTGTGCCTAAGTGTCCCAAATTCTACTCTTCTCTCCTTTACCCAGAGGCCCATAGTGTCCTTGAAAAACTATTATAGTAACACTACTTTAAAGAATTCTCAGAAATGTACTCTAGGCTTTGAATACATATATCAGAGGCTTATACATAAGAAAATGGATGAAAAGAATCCCAAGTTGTCCTAAATGCCCAACAATGAATCAATGGATGAAGAAGCTATGCTATAAATGCTCAATGGAATACTACCCTGTCATTAAAAATATGAAGTTGCACAATTTGAGATAGCATGGGTGGAATGTGAGATGATTATATCAAGTAAATAAGTAAGGAATTGGAAAACAATTGCTAGATAGTTTCATTCATATGTGGAGTATAATTACAAAAGTAAACAAACTGACGAGAGGCCAGAGCAACAGTACAGAGGTGAAGGAGCTTGCTTTGCACACAGCAGACCTGAATTCAATCCCTGGCACCAAAATTGTCCCCCTAGCCCCACGAGCAGTTATCCTTGAGTGCGTACCCACCTAACAGTAAACCATCTGAGCACCACTGGGTGAGGCACACCAACCAAAATCAAACAAAAAAATCAAACAAACTGACAAGAAACAACACAGCTAAATTTTAAACTCAGAGGAAACTATATGGTTACTAGAGGGATAAAGAAAGCAGAGTGGGAGGAATGAGTAGAGGAGTCTTTAGAAGTAGGAAGGCTCTAGAACATTGGTGGCAGGAGTGGTAACAATGACACACATATGAATATATAAAACAAAACTGAAATTCCACAATATTGCAAATCAGTGATAAGTTAATAAAATATAAATAGAAAATAATAATTAGTTTTTATGCTTGCGGGGGAGGGAGAGAACCACAGGGTGTGACATTTCTGAAGTAAGTAGGAAGACATGCATTCTAGAATGTGCTTTTTAAAAAATTTATTGAATCACCATGAGATAGAGCATTA